TTGCCGTCTCCCTCAGTGTGCCTCCGCCGCAGATAAGCTACTGGAAAAAAAAGTGCCTGCCATCGGACCAGGCGGGATTTTTGTGGATTTTGGCTTTCGGTCGTTTTCCTCTGTTACGACGGCGGAAGGGGAGGGATTTTCCTTCAATTTTAATGAGTTTGTTGCCAAACAAGGACAACACACAAATTTTTGCCTATTTGCAACTTGCGGACCAATCGATCGGGGGCCGAAAGGGGTTGCCCCGACAGGGGACAGGGGACAGGACAGGACAGGACAGGCTTAAAGTCAACTAATTAAAAAATCTGCCCAAGTCGTTTCCTGCCTTCCTTCCATTCTTCCATTTCGTGTTCTTTCCTTTTCCTTTTCCCTTTCCCTTTCCATTCGGGCTTGGCTTGCCACTTTCCAGTGTCTTTGGTCAATTTTTGGTTAACGAAATGGCGCAAATTGGGGAAAAACGGTGGGGCGGGGGAAAACACTTCGAGGCAGCCATCGACCCATCGACGCAAAGCAAACAGGCCGGAATGTATGGCTCCATAGGACAGCGAAACGACTCGAGATGGGGGCCTTTTTGGAGGGTCTACTTATCAGAGTCTCGTGTCTGCCCCGTGCTGCCTTCAGCATGCGATTGGTTTATGCAAATGAACAGCAGAGCAGCAGAACAGCAGACAGTGAAAAGAGAGAAAATAGCGAAACTCAGAAGATAAATGAGGAAATACTTGAATATTCCATGGGCCCATTCCTCAATGTCCATGCAGGAAGTATGCATGGGATGGGATACTGATACAGATACAGATACAGATACACTCCCCAAAGGAGTAGCATTGCATTTCGACAATGAACGATTGTCCGAAGTAACGCTAACTGGAAGTTTATCCGACAGAAAGCCGGCCACCAGGTGGCAGAAAGCTAGCAGCCATTATGCACTAGCATTCTCATTTCAAGTGTTACCTTAAATAAATGCAAGTACTCATACATACTCGCACACTTACTCGTATATTTGAGTCGAAAAGTTGCGCATTTGCGAAGGATAATCCTCGCCTCAAATCGGATAAAATTGGAGGGAGAAAATATGAAGGAAATCTACAAGTAGGCTTGTAGGATGACCAAATTCTAAAATATCTGCCACGTGCCTCCGCTCGCTTGAACACTATTCAGAATCTGGAATACAGAATCCATCCTGTGGCAGGTCGTGTGCTCGAGTTTGAATCACAATCGGGGTAACAAAACCCAATAAAACACACACATTTCCATATAATTTCGTACCGATATTAATTTGAAACTTAACTATCTTATCTGTGTTTTTATTTTTCAACTTTGTATATAATAATAAATCTTCTAATCGAAAGATGATACATGGTAAAAGTTCTTCCACCATCTGTACAAAAATACCAGAAAAATTGTTCAATCTTGGCTAACGGTATATTTTTATGAATATTTTTTATGAATATATTTTTAGTAACCCGTGCGCCATATCCATGTCCCGTGCGAATGAGCTTAATATAAAAAGTAAAAAAAGAATAAAATATTAAATAGTATAAAATAAAATATAGAAAATAAAAACAATAATTGGGTAAAATTTTAAACGATGTTGAAGATACATCATTCGAAAAAATAGCACCAAAAATATATTTTCCAAAAAAAAAAAAAAACGACGTGGAACAGCTCTATATTTATACCCGATACATAGTCAGTATGGCTCTCCTCCGCCAGACGGCGCTAACATTGCACGATACGACAAAGAGTGCGTGCGAGAGAGACAGAAAATCAGTCTGAACGTGTCGACGGGCACTGCGTGGCCACTGTAAATTGATTTGCTATTTTTGGCTATAATAATATTTCGATCTGGTCAAATCCGATCCGATCCGTTTCAAAATTGTGGATGCCACAGATTTTCGTCGTCTGTGTAGACTTCACTTTTATGAGGCTACTTTATGGGGTCGGAAACGCTTCCTTCTGGACGTTACATTTTCACCACAAAGCTAATATACCCCTATACTCTTTTTGAGTATCGGGTATATTTAGTTGTTTAGCCTTTATTCACTGTTGTGGCTATATCTTAGATTTATCTGTTGGCTGTTTGCTTAACTACAGAATCTACAGGATACAATGGCATCCAAGGCCATCAAAATGCTGGACGCCGAGTTGAGTCTTCGTTTCCTTCACCACATTTTTTAGATTTTACTAATTGCTGCTGCGGCACCTTGTTTAAAAATTATTTGAGAAGTATATGAGAGCATGGATTTGTGTTGACTTAAAGATAGTCGTATGCGACAGGCAGAGGCTAGTGCGGTTATAGAAATAATAAAAATATCCCTGCCCATCGACGCATCGGACTTTGAGACCGTATCCGAGGGATGGTATTCTGGTGTATGAGACGATATGGGAGGGAGTTTTGGAGCAAGCGAGAGACGGCTATAAATATTTAAGTGATGCCCCCGCACTTTTTGGGCATTCCCTGAGCTCCGTCTATGGCTGCTCTACAATCCTCTGCTCCAGCCTCCACTTTACTGCTTCCCCCGCAGCTTTTACCTGTTCCACTTCAGCCTCTGCCCGTATCCCGCATTTCATTCGACTTTTGTATTTGTGCTTGGCATGAAAATCACATTAGAATCTATTGCTTCACCTGACGACCCATTTTGCCCTTCCCTTTGCCATTCCCCCAACCATTTGCATTCTGTTCCTGGGCCTGAAAGTATAAACGCAATTTTCCCGCCTTAATATGATACACTTACACATTCAGGTCCCGACACCCGACACCCGACACCCGGTACCCGGTACCCGGTACCCGGCACTCGGCATTTTCCATTCTCCTCCGCCTGTGTGCATTTCCTTTATGGCATTTTCACTTTACGCTCTCACATTTCCATGCGGAGCAGGCCAGTCCCAGCAGCTAGCTAAAAGCTGGCTCATTTCAGTTCCCCTTGCCCTGCTGTGGCCCTGTCCTTGTCCATGTCCCTGTCCCTGCTGTTCTTTTACTTTTCCCTTCATTTTGCCTGCCAAACGAAATCCTTTTGGAAAAGGCTTTATGTCTTCTCATTCGGCTGCTGTTCAGAGTAATCCGCTTTCGACAGCTCGAGCGAGCTGGAGGACTCGTGCAGGAGCATATGAAATCTATGCCCATTAGAGTATAGAGAGTATGAGAGAAAGAGTGGCAACTGTCAACTGTCAAGTCTCAGCTGGCAATCCTCATTTGGGTCTACCCCAATCGATCGAGTATCGAGTATTGTGGCCATTGTTCACCGTTCCCTGGGAGTTGAAGGGGAATTGACTCAAAAGGAGCTTATGGGAGGCTCAAGAAACTAAATGAACCGAATCGAACCACAGATCTGGGCTTACAGAGCCACTCAATCGAACTGGAAGCCTTTCACCACACCCTGCCTTGAAACGAGTTCAATTAAAACTATTAGCAGCAGTTCAGCAGTGCCTATACTGATTAAATATCAAACGAGGTGAAGCCGGAGGTCCCGTCGATCCCAGACCATCATTGGGGTTCATTAAGTGATCGATGGTGGAGCTTTAGCCTCCCATTCCAGTCTCCCATAACCATTTGTCTTTCAACTTTTGATGGCTCCTTTGGGGGTCTACTGGCTCTGACTGGTTGCAGTTTGGTCCGTTTATTTGCTGGCCAGGCGACACTTATGCATCAATTTGTTTGACAATCCAGTTGCCTGCCCGTCTCCCTATCTGTTTCTCTCTCTAACGGCATCTGTATCTGCATCTGTATCTGCATCTGTATCTGCATCTGTATCTGCATCTGTATCTGCATCTGCTTCTCCCGCCGTCTGTGCGATTGCATTCCTTTCACTTGTCACCCTGTCTGTCCCTCGACTAATAAGCTCTTTAGCTTCCGTATGAGCACTCGACCGTCGTCTGGTTCCGAAAAATGTTGCCAGACCCAGACCAAACCCCGAAATGGGGCAGGAGCAGCGAAAGAGTGGAGATGGGAGAGGTTGGTGGAGTCTGATTTGTTAATTATCCCGTAGTTACTGCACTCCATGGCAGTCCATGGCCATGTGTGCTGCAGGACATGGTTGGCATGTGTCCACTGACTTGTTTGCCCGTGCTCGTGGACAATGTATGAGCTCATGTTGCTTCTGCCCCGTAATGTTGCTTCTGCCTGTTGCGTGTTTTCCCGGTGAAAGCTGTGCAAGCCAACCGATTGATTGAATGCAGAGGGCCTATCGCATTCGAATTAGGTATTTGCCAGACCCAGTCCCAGTCCCGGACCCAAGCCACAATTGGCCTCAAAGGCGAACCCACTCACTGGGCCAAAGCGGGTTGCCCCTTCCCTAATTGAAAGACCTAGCCTAGCCTCTATTGCCGAAAGACCCGAAAATTCAATGTTGCAGCACGGACATTCCTTTGATTGTCTGCCAGTCAGTCAGTCAGTCAGTCAGTCAGTCAGTCAGTCAGTGGTTAGTGGTTCGGTGGTTTGGTGGGCTTGCGATTGTTCTATTTATAGCAATCGGAGAGTCTTTGCCCCCATCTCGTCACACAGCACATGCATGGACGCATGCCACACCAGCTGTTGGCCCCATCCCTTCCAGTACCAGAGAATCCAAGCTTCCTGTTCGCACTGACAACTTAACGGAAAATTCATTTCACACATCTCCGCCACCCGCTCTCACTCCTCCTGCAGCCTCCTGCTGGCACTCCCCCTGCTATCTGCTGCCTCCCCAGTCCTCCTGCCTGCGGGCTGGCAATGGAAACAGCATTGCCAGGTAACCGAGAAACGATAATTGGATACGTGAAAGCGTGCAGAATTGTATTTTTTTGAATAATTGACATTATTCGATAACCGAAACCAGTCTTAGGCACCCAACGAGTACGAGAACATTGTGCATTCGACAGCGGGTAGCACTTATACTCTCGTATACTCGTAGTTGAAGCAGCCATCCTTGTGATTTAATTGTGAATTAGCCTTTATCGATTGGCAAATAAAGTCTCCCAACTGGAATATTTTGTAGAGAAATTAAAGGCCAAAGCCTAGGGGTACTCACGCTGCGAGTTGGAGCGCCGGATGATGTTCTCGAGGAATGTGTTTTGCGGCGCAACCAGTCCACGTCGTCCGCCAGGCATTTTGCCGCCTACACGCTACGCTGCGCCGGCACTGCTCGACACTGTACCGACACTGTCCTGTCCCGTGCTGGCCGGGTCCGCTGCTCTTCCGCTTCGGCCGATGACAGTTGGACTGGTCTTCGCCGAGTCGCCTAGTCGCCCGGCGAGTCGCTCTGACAGTTGACGGATGACGGATGACGGGTGACAGTTGTCAGCTGATGGATAGAAGGTCCGATGCGACGCTGACTCCGACTGCGACTGCGAATGCGAGTGCGAGTGCGGATATCCTTTGGCTCGATGGCTGGATGGAGGATGGTCGTCGCAGTGCGCTCGCTCGTCCGCTCGTCAGCTGGATCAATTGATGTTCGATTGCTATTGATCGGTGTGGCGCCTCATCAGCTTCTGTGCTCCTGCTTCAGCAGTTGTCCGAGGGGGCAACGACGACATCGCTGGGCATCGCCGCAACACTGCTGCCCCGGCCGACCGCCATTTCGATGGTCTCGTTCCCAATTCTCGCTCCTTACGTCTCACGTCTCACTCAATGACTCGATAATCGCTGGGCGGCGACGACGACGGGGACGGGAACCTCCGCAACTTTAATCCGCCGCTGTCGGAGCTGTTCACCACTTGACCAATCACACAGTCTTATCGGTTGCATATGGCACTGCAAGTAAAACAGAGAGAGAAAAGAAGAGGTACGATACAGCATTAGAAAAATTCATTATGTTTCCAGATTAAAATTGAAAAAAGTTGGGAAAACGACTGGCAAGCGGAATTTACTGAAAGAACTCATATTAATATTACTGCATGGTTTTCGGAGAGCTTTCGATTCGTGGCCGCACCCGGAAATAAAGGCGGAACAGGGCCAGTGATGTCTGAAAGTGGCATTCCGATTCGGTCATATCTTGGAAAACTCTGAGAAGTCGGAAATACTCGTACTCGTCGTGGTACTCGCTACTCGTTACTCGCCTTAATACGAGAATCCCTGTTCTACTGAGGCACTTTCGGACGGACTGGCATTGGCCTGGGAGGAAGATTTGAGCTAAGTAAACTCGACACCATTGTACATATATGTATTAACTGAATGATGGATATATTAAGCGATATGATTACATATGATTTGTAAACAAATCAGAATATCTATCGATGAAAGCTCGATACCTCGTGCATGCCTTGTTCTGCCTACAACCGATGCTGTTCAGAACATAATCTCTTCTCACAACGTCTATTCGAATGCTCTTAGATGATCTGCGGTCGCGCTCAACCCAATTACGCTCTCAGTGCATACATGCACACACACGTACGAGTAGGTACTGCATTGTTTGACACACTACTCGTGGTTTTACGGCCACGCCCTCCAATTATTAAGTCCTGGACCTTCTATATTTAAGCCTTTGAACGGAGAAATCCTACTCTAATGAAAGTTGAATCCCATTAGGACAGCATCAGATACTGTCACAAGTGGAAAATTAATTACATTGTGATATAAGCAGTTTAATCAAGTGGAAAATTAAAGCTAATGTGAAGCTGGGGCTGGGGCCCAATCGTTATCGCCTAATTGATCATATTGCCTTTTTAATTGAGCGACATTAAATGGATTTGGCGATAAGTCCGGCTCAAGTTCCTGTGCCATTATGGTTTTCGTTGTCGAAATGCAGTGCAAAACGCAAAGTGCTGTCAAATGGGGCTTATAATTCAATTTATGTAAACATTTAGTGCACGTTTGTATGCTGCATTGTTGCAGCCACAAGCTTATTCGGTCCCTGATTCCACTCAACCTTTCCTGCCCCCGTAACCAGTAAATCTATTGATTTTAGCGATATTCTGGCTACTGTTGTAATTAATTATGGCAAACACTCCTTTGTACACTGTACACTGTACACTGTATCGTATACGTAATATTTCCTGCACGGATCAGAGGTAACTGAGACCCATACAGGATATTGGATAAAGAGAGAGCGAAAAGAGCTTACGATTGGCTTAAGCACAAAACAATAAAGCATAAATTGGCCTTATCAAGTGGTTATTCCCACTCGAACCTTCGGAATCCCCCGCATACCCATCACAATCCCAATTGAACACTCCTTTATGCCACCTTTGTGAACTGCACATGGAAAGCGGATAGGCAGCAGTCAACCTGCCGGCAATTAGAGATGTCAATTATCCAGCTCTCGTATTGCCAATTAGGAAACCTAACTGAACAATCAATGTACCATCTACACTGAGGCATTGGTTTGGAGTTGGGCTTGGGCTACATTCTGGGAATGCCTGAATACACAGCAATTATTAATGGCAGCTGCGAAGCTCTTGAGTACAAGACTGAGGACTGAAAACTGAGGACGGATGACAGACTGCATCGACAGATTCACTACGCACCGAAGACACGAGAACAAAGTCAGTTTCGAGCAATGAAGCACGGTGCAGCCAAGCGTAAGACGCACTAATTGCAAGGTGCAGGAGCAGGATTCAAAAGCAACTGGAGCAGAATCAGCCAGATATACGAGAACCAAATAAGCAGATTCAGCAAACGAAGGTGGCACAGAAATGAGGCTTCAGAAGAAGCATAATTAGAGGGATAGATGGGAAGGATAAGAAATGAAAGCGAAGGATCAGTAAGTGAATAGAATGGATAGAGTGGTGGCTTACAAATTAGAAGAGCCTTAGACGGGAACGAGAGTAAATTAGAATTTACATCAAGCCTCAAGAGGAGTAGAAAAAAGACACCTAAAGTATTAGAGCAGAAGCAGATCCAAGCACAGCCTTAAATCTAGGGCTTGGACGGGATCACGTCGGGGTCACCATAGCAAACAATTAAAAAGATTCACGTAAGACTGCACCACTATGTTTTTGATATGATATTTATGTTATTTATTGAGAAATAGTCCCCACATTGAGAGCCTGGCCTTCAACAGAATTACGTCGGGGTCACCAATGTCAACAGAACTAAAAACATAATTGGGATATTAGTGCCATGGTCCGTAATTGTGGCATCCAAACATCCCATGTAATATTCACTTCGAAATATAATTCAAACGAATGATATCCTTGCAAGTGAAGCACATTTCATTTCAAAGGTATTTATAAAAAAGTCATCCGGCTTTCTCCTCAGAAACTGCTCTAAGATCTACAGCAAACGGAACGATTATTCATGGGAGCATGACTGTATTTTATTGTATGTTAAAATATTAATAATTTGGCTATCCATTGGAGGGGAGTACTCGTGTGCGCAAGGTTTAATCTTGCATGAATTCCATCATTCCACCCATAGTACGAGTGCAATTATCCGAGGTAACATTAGACATTTTAAATTTCTTCTTCGAAAGTGAACGCTGTAAAAGTTTTCCTCGGAAAACTCTACTGGCTCCCCCCACCGCCACCCCAACTGTTGCTCTGTGCGGAGAAGCGAAACCCCTTTGGATGCTGCCACTCGACAGTTGCCTCACTTGCCCCACTCGCCTGCGTCGCTTGCCTCGCTCGCCTCAGATGGCTGAGCTCAGTAATCTTTAATTTCATTAAAATTCTAGCTACAGCCAAGACAGCTTCTTTGTGCCTGCTGCAGAGTCCTGGCTGCCATCCATGCTGCCATCCATGTTGCTGCAGTAAGTGCTTATTAGAGGCAGCACACTCCGACCTAAACGAGAAACGCTCTCAGGCATTTATGAATTTTCCGGCTTTAATGCGTGGCTACGGAGGAACAGCAGCACCAGCAGGAGTAGGAGTGGAAGCAGAAGGACCACAGCACGCGGGACAGTAGATCGAGGAGCTGCCCCAGTGGCCCAGTTGGGGATGGAAGGACAGCGTTCTCGGAACTCGTAGAATGGGGTGAATTTCCGTAGAAACTTTCCGAACAATGCTGCTGCATTCATTTATTCCTTGGTTTATCCCGACACAAGTTTCCTTGTTCTCTTGGTCTTCCCTCAACCTAAACATCAACCTCTCCCTCTCTCTCTGCCTCTGGTAATGCATATCCTCGTAATTAACTGCAAGTTACAGCTCCATGGATGCACAATAATGGAGACTAATTTATGGCTAACCCACAGTCAGAGCCATAGCCAGAGTCCTCTCTACTTGATGGAGCACTAATGAACTGCAAAAGGATATACTATCAGAGTCCAAAGTCCGAAGGCGAAAGAAAATATTGGGGATGTGTGGAACGAATCTTTTAGAGCCACATCGGCATCTGCTGGTGTGTGTGTGTTTGTGTGGCACCAATCGAAGTAATCTTCTCTTTCGTAATACTTATACTCGTATTCATGCCAGTTTAGAATCGTGCAGGTCCTGTACTCTCCTGGCTCTCCTTGGCTACTCGTACGGGTGTGTACGCATCTGAGCAGTCATAGTCAGGGACATTCACACACATCTCGTTGTAGTATTGTTTTGTTGCTGTGTTGTTGTGTTGTTGTGTTGGTGTGTTGGTGTGTTGTAATGTTTCCAAAGCCCTACGTCAATCTCGGATATTTTTAGCTTGTTGAGTGCGATTCAAATGTGGCAGTGGCCAACCCCAGCTAAGGGCTAAACAACTGCATCCTCCGTCTCTGCTGAAACACTCTCCTTGTGCCCTCGCAGCTCATTCCATGGCTCCACCAGCACTGGCACTCATGTTCGAAACGCACTGTACCTCCCCCGAGACGACTGTAAATGAAGAATGACACTCTCTGTGGGGGAGACACTGTACGGGGACTGGGTTCTTCTCGACTTCTTCTCCTCCATTCTTCTACGAGAAAATTGATCGGCAATAGTGGCACTCGTTTTTCATAGAGTGGGGGACATTATTGCTGACGTCACAGGCCCGAATGTGGAGAGCAAAGAAGTATACATAAACAAAGATATAGAAGAGGGGCAAAAGAGTCGAGCCTCTCGGCAGTCGCCTATTTTATAATAAATATAAAATGTATAACAAATGGCATATTGCCTCGCCTCGCCCCCTGCCCCCATTCAGCCGCAGCATCCCTTAATAACGGCAGTGGCCTCCCCCGCCAAGGGCTTGACACACTTGCCACAAGCCTGGCCGGGTCGGGGTC